TATTAAGGAAATAGTTAAGTTGAAAACGCGATGGGATCCCTAGTTTTCTTGTCGTTGTGAAGATTAAATTTTAGCAGATGGAACCCACCAAGAAGCCATCAGAGATGCTTTCATTTCTAAGATCGGCTGTTTTTTGTTTTGTTTTTAAGTTTTTATTGGGTACAAAGGAAAAAAAAGATTAAAAACATTGAACATGGTAAATCGTCTTTGACTGACATCTCAGTCCATATTGTACATTAATTACATATAATATATCTATATACAACTGTACATTTCTGGTCTCTATCTTAACTTATCTCTTTGCTGTGACCTCTATATTTTTTTTTGTCTCTCCATAAGATCAGCTGTTATAATCTGCAACCAAAATGTGTGTTTTTCCCCCCCGCTTCTGTTTATTGTGTTTATTTCTGCCGAGGGATAAATTTCATGGACTAACTTATGCAGTTGAAATTAAAAATAACTCCAGACCTTTTTTTTCCCCACAAGCGGGCATCGAATTGGGGAATATTTCCCCCTTTATATTTTTTTTTCATCCACGTTTCCTCCCTTTTCAATCTTTCCTTGGCTGAACTCTTTGTTTCGCAGATTACTTTGGGGTGCGAGTGTGGGTATGTGTCTACCTTAAACAAAACCTTTTCCCTGATCCTTTTTTCCTCCCCTTCTTTCTTCTGACATCAGCACACTGTGACTGTCTCTCTGTGTCTGCATAGAAATTGCCATCTTTTGTTCGCCGCTTTTCATTGGTGTGGGATTGTTGATAATCAGCCAAATTAGAGCAGGAATGAGAGCAAAAGGCTGTGGAAGCAAAGAAACATCTCTGCTTGGAGCAGAAGAGAAAGGCTTAGCTTGGAAATGGGATTGTGCTGGACTTTGCAAAAACACACTTGCAGAAGAATATGTAATAATTACGGCCTTGATAGTTCACTCAGCTGAAACAGGGCTCTGGAGAAACAAATCAGATCCGATGGTATCACCCAGAGGAATCGCTAAATCTCTACAGAAGACAAACAAAAGGCTTTCCTCTAAGTTCTAAACCAGTTCTAAGTTCTCAAGATGTTTATGATAATGTAGTAGGGGAAAAAAAACTCAATATATATATATATAAAAAACCCAATATAGGAAGCCAGTTTGGCCTAGTTGGTCTAGTTGGGTTGTATAAACAGAGACATAGAATCAAGATTAGGCAAGGTATTAGTACCGCTTTATAAAAACCCTAGTAAGACCAGACCTGGAATACTGCAGCCAGTTTTGGTCACCATATCACAAAAAAGATGTTGAGAGTTTGGAAAAAGTTCAGAGAAGAGCAACTAAGTTGATCCAAGGCCTGGAGACTAAAACGTGTGAAGAACGGCTGAGGGACTTGAGTTTGGCTAGTCTAAAGAAAAGAAGAAATAGGGGAGACATGATAGCATATTCAAGTATTTGAGGGGCTGTCCCAAGGAAGAGGGGTTCAAATTAATCTCCAAAGTGCCAGATGGAAGGACGAGAAACAATGGTTGGAAACTGACCAAAGAGAGAAGCAACCTGGAGTTAAGGAGAAAATTCCTAAGAGTGAGGACAATTAACCAGTGGAACAGCTTGCCTTCAGAAATTGTGGGTGCTCCATCACTGGAAATTTTTAAGAAGAGACTGGAGAGTCACTTGTCTGAAATGGTATAGGGTCTCCTGCTCGCGCAGGGGGCTGGACTAGAAGACCTCTAAGGTCCCTTCCAGCTCTATTCTATTTTAGTAGTTAAGACACCAGGCTAGAAAGCAGGAGACTGTCAGTTCAAGTCCTGCTTTAGCCATGAAAACGAGCTGGGTGACTTTGGGCCAATCACTAGGAGATGGTGAGTTCTAGTCTTGCTTAGTCCTGAAAGCTGACTGGGTGACTTTGAGCCAATCACTAGGAGTCCATACATTTTCAAAGTTTCTGAGATATTCTAAACTCCTTGTATTCAATTGCTTTTGTTCATTTTCTTCTCTGTACGCTGTGAATCTTCTTTGGTGAAAGAAAATGTCTGGAAACAACTGCGGGTAGACTTACTAACACTTTGTCAACTAATCTCTCTTCTTTCTCTCTCTCTGTCTCTCTCTCTCTTCCTCTCTTTTTCTTTACAGCTTTTTCTGCTTACGGTTGTCTGTGGCTTCACTTCCTCTAGAGATTAATGTCTGATGTCCCAACCTTCTTAACATAAAAGAGCTTCCTAAACCTTCTTAGGTGTGTATTTTATTTTGTTTTTTTCCCTCAATGCACGTTTTTCCAAAATTGCATGAGGGGAATGTCGCATGTCCTGGAATGCTACATGGGATCGGCGCAGATTGAATTGCAGGTAATCCTCGACTTATAACCACAATTGAACCCAAAATGTCCATTGTTAAGTGAGACAGTTAAGAGAATTTGGCGCCCATTTACCTCCGTTCTTGCCCCAGCTGTTAAGGGAACCGCTTGTTCCACGTTTGTTAAGTGAATTTGGCTTCCCCTATTGACTTTGCTTGTCGCAAAAGGGGATCATGTGACCCCGGGATGCTGCGACCGTCATAAAATGGGAACCAGTTGCCAAGCATTTGAATTTAGATCACGTGCAGCGGTCGTATGTCACTTTTTTCGGTGCTATTGTAACTTCAAACTGTCACTAAACAAATTGTTGTAAGTCGAGGAAAACCTGTGTAGTGTTTCATTGCCTACTAATAAGGCAATACCTAAGGTTGTCATTCTTCACCTGCCACGTAGCAACAACAGATTACATACTTTAGATGCCAAGAACGGTTCACGTTCGCATTTTCTTGCTTTGACTGACAGAATTCTGATACCAAAATTGGATTCCCACGAATTCTGGGAATTCGACTTTTCAAAATAAGTTTGTGGCCCTCTTTGTCGATCAAAAGTACTTGTGTTAAGTCGAGCTACGTAAACTATCTGGAAGGATAGTTGAGGGGTAAGACTATGGAAGAAAATGGAAAGCTTTCCTATACTGAAGCTGGCCTTTACTCCAAATTTTGAAGATGTTAAAACGTATAAATAGCACGGCGTAACCAGCAGGTTTAACTAGTGGTGGCTGACGTTTTTTTCCGTCTCTTTATTTTGTTACTAATGATGATGCTGATAAGAACTGAGTGAAAAGTTGTACCTGGATGAATAACCAGAAAATAATTAGCCGAGTTGCTACAGAAAAGTCTCATCCATCTTTCCAAGAAGAGTTTAATACATTTCTTTCTCCAAATGAACAACTGTTATTATCCGTCTTCCTTTAAATAGCTCCTCGCCATGTTCTTTTCACAACAGACTTACAACGTGAGTTAAACAACGGGAGGGAACAAACAAATAGCCCTACTCCAGGCAGTGAGCATTGAAAGAGAGGGGAAATTTGAACCAGGGTCTGCTCAGGAATTGATAATACAAGCAGTCCTCCATTTACAACCACAATGTCACGGAGACATTTCTTAAGTGAGTTTGGCCCCCTTTTTTTGCCACCGCAGCAAGTTCTTAAACGAGTAACATGGTTGTGAAGTGAATCTGACTTCCCCATTGACTTTGTTGTCAAAAGGTCGCAAAAGGGGATCACGTGACCCCGGGAAACTGCAACCGTCATAAATACGAGTCAGTTGCTAAGCTTCTGAATTTTATTCACGTGACCGTGGAAATGCTGCGGCAGTTGCGAGCGTGGAAAAACGGTCGCAAGTTACTTTTTCCAGTGCCGTCGTGACTTTGAACGGTCATTAAATGAACTGTTGTTTTAAGCCGAGGGCGACCGTATTATCCCAAGAAGGGGAGTGAAAAAAGGAGGGCACTTATCTGCAGTGGCTCATCAGTTAGATAAAGCATTCAGACAGCCGAATAGGTGACTCTCCCAGCCTGATTGATGATCCAAGTAAGCCGGTGATTTACTGCGGCTACTGAATGTTTTCTGCCTGCCGGTGGTAAAGGAAGCTCGTTGGAGCAGCCAAGGTTTACTCAAAACATACAGAACACAACACGCACCCACATTACGCAGGAACACACCTTAAGGAAAAGAGAAATGAAAGAAGACAGATTTCCTTGCTCAAGGAAAATAGGGCTCTATTTTACGTAGGTACACATGCGTCAAATTTACGTGCCGCTCCTCTCCCTAGCTGTATTCGCACCACTCTTGGTTCTTGAGAAAATTTTGCTCCCGGGGGGCCAACTTTACCCACCACTGACTTAGGCCTTTCATGTGTAGTGTGGAGGGGTGTGTGAGGATGACCTTGGCGCACAGAAGGAAGAGCTGCAGACTGGACATCCGTCAGATCAGAGGTAGCTGAGCCCTCAGTGGACACACGTTCCCGATCCTAGCCAAGAGACCTTTAATTGATCTTTCTTTTACTATAATGGCATGCAAGCATGGAAACACGTTCATCCTTCCTTTGGCCTGTCAGTTGCATTTCGCTGTTTGTTTGTCAAGCACTTTGCCGCCCGTGGTGTGTGCTTCGGGCTGGCTAGTATCTCTTAGATTCTGTCATTCAAACCTGGAAGTGTTTTTGAGTTGCCTTCTTTGGGGGCTTCATCTAAGTCAGAGGTGTCCAACCTTGGCGACTTTTAAGACCTGTGGATTTCAACTCCCAGAATTCTTTTGCCCCAGTTTACATCTTTTCTTGCCAAGCAAATTACTGCACTTGTAAATTCAGTAGCACGGGGGTTAAGCAGATCTGGCTTCTCCCCTTGACTTTGCTTGTCAGAAGGTCCCAAAAGGCGATCCCATGACCCCGGACACTGCAACTGTCATGAGTACAAGCCAGTTGCTAAGCGTCTGAATTTTGATCACATGACTGACCGTGCGGAGGCTTCAGCAATCACAAGCATGACAAGCGGTCCTAATTCACTGTGTTCAATGCCGTTGTAGCGGTCACTAAACGGATGCTTGCAAGTCGAGCTGAAGTCCACAAGTCTTAAAGTTGCCAAGGTCGGACACCCCTGTTCTCCCTTTTACTCCCCACCCGTGTCGCCCTAATTTTTGTCCTTTGCCCTATCAGCGAGCAGGCCAGATCTTTTGAGCCCAGCCATGGATGATTATGACATCCGATCCGCAGCGAGCATCTTGGCTTCTGTGAAAGAACAGGAGGCTCGCTTTGAGCGGCTTACCCGGGCCCTGGAAGAAGAACGTCGGAATGTGTCTCTGCAACTCGAGCGGGCCAACCAGCCCTCGGATCGCATAAACGCCTGCAACATCGGCAGTGGGCAGCCCTTAGCAACGGCTTGGCAGCAGCTGGTTCTGCAGGTAAAGGACCTGCTCTTCGCCTCTGATTCCCGCCACGCCAGATTTGCCTGTCTGTGAATGGTTAAAACGGGGTGGCCTTTTTCCGTCCCTCTTTCCTGCCGTGCACTCAAAAGAGTTATTTTTTTCCCCTCCCCTTTCCATCTTTTTAATCACGTGGGCAGGTAAAATGAGGATATAATGGTCATTGCTTCCTTGGATTTTGGATGGGCTGGCACTTAAGGTGGCAAAGAGGGCTTGGTTGCAAGGCTTGGGAGATGATCAGGTAGCAACAGAAGAAAACATTTGCAGCTCAGGGTTGGAATGAAGGGTCCTTGGTGATCTCTGAGCTTGGTGGTTTTCTTGTGGATGTTTCATGATCCGACTAGATAACATCATCAGTGCTAGAAGGAAGTGGGGTTTGCGGAGAGGAGGAGAAGGAGGAGGAGGAGGAGGGCGGCTGTGGGGTCCTTGGTGCTCTCTGAGTTTGGTGGTTTTCTTGCGGATGTTTCCTGACCCGACTAGATAACATCATCAGTGCTAGAAGTAAGTGGGGTTTATGGAGAGGAGGAGGAGGAGGAGGAGAAGGAGAAGGAGAAGGAGAAGAAGGAGGAGGAGGAGGAGGAGGAGGAGGAGGAGGAGGAGGAGGAGGAGGAAAACGACTGTGGAGTCCTTGATGCTCTCTGAGCTTGGTGGTTTTCTTGTGGATGTTTCATGACCCGACTAGGTAACATCATCAGTGCTAGAAGGAAGTGGGGTTTGCGGAGAGGAGGAGGAGGAGGAAGAGGACTGTGGAGTCCTTGGTGATTTTCTTGCAGGAGGTTTACTACCAAATAGGTCCCATCATCAGAAGAAAACCCCACGTCCTACTAGCACTGATATTGTTCCCTAGTTGGGGCATGAAACATCTGCAAGAAAGCAACCAAACTCAAAGACCACCAAGGACTCCCACGGGTGATCAGCGCAAGCAGCGGTGGTTTATTGATTCACACTTCTGGTTTGTTAGAAGAGAAATGGAGCTTGACCTCTGTGTTGATAATCAGCCAAGTTCGAGCAGTATAGTTATATACCTATGACAGTTTTATGCGTTATCTTGATGGTTACATGAGCAGAATCCATGTTCCAGATAATGGACTTGTTTGTGAAATATTTTCATTAATATTAAATGTTACCAGGGATTCCAACAACAGCTGCCATATTAATGGTCCTAAGTAAGCTTTAACTTCTATCATCTTGTAGTTGGGGGGGGGGAGGTTGTGATCACAACACATCTGGAGAAGAATGTATTAACAACTGTGAATAAGGATCCGGAGAGGAATATTTGGTCATTCGAAAACATGGTTGCCCAGCTATTGTGCTGTTAAATGACCCACTTCTAGGTCTTCTACAAGAAGAGAGTATTTTTATAGCAGTCTTTTGCAATTTGGTGCCTGCACAATTTCAAGAATTTCCAATACTTTTGAAGGTCCCTACGGAGGGGGAAAAAAACTGCTTAGTAATCCACTTGTCAGTCTCTTGAGATGTTCAGGTGAGACATTTCTCCATATCACCTTGTTAGCGGAAGCATGCTAAGGTGGAACAATCTCTTGGTTTCGCTATATCTCCTTTATAAGACTCCTACCATCTCTGCAACATTTCATGGGAAAGAATTAATTTCTCCTTTAGCTTTTTAAAACTAAGCCTTGCCGGTTAATGCGCCGCGTTGTTCTCCCGTCCTTTGCTGGCTTTGATACAAAGCTCTTGCTTCTTGTTTAAATTACTATAGGTGTTGTTAATCTCCACGCAAATTCCCAACAGAGTGGAGTGTGTAAATAACTTAGAGTCATGTATTTTTTTTTTATTTTTTTATTTGCTCTAGGCATATGGAGTCATTGCTTTAGGAAATGGAAATTGAAGTAGGCCAAATCAAATTCCATTGTCTCCAGCTTCGGAATTAAACTGATATACTAGTCTTCCTGGAAAAAAAAAAAACTTCTCTGTATTTATTATTCTTTTTCAGCCGGTTATAAATCTATTTTCTTCATTTGTTGAGAAATGTTATGCGCGAAAGGTAACTGAGTTTGCAGTGGTTTTTTTTTAATTTTTGGTGCTTTTTTTTTTAAATGTGGGAAGCCGGCAATATATTGATTTCTGTTCCACCAGCAAGCGGGTTGACCTGAATCTTCCTCAAGCTAGCAAACGACCTGAATTTTAACAAGCCGTTGGTGTTTACTTAGGCTAAACAAACTCTGATTCACACACCCAGCAGGTTCTGTGGATCAAAATGCTAATGACTATGAGTCACCCTGGACTTGTGTGCATCAGTTACATCTTTTTTAAAACTCTAAAAATCTGAACTTGGAGCTAGGAACCATATATAATTATATATCTTGGTCAGAGCCAAGCTTTTAAACCAAGATCAGACTTTGATTCGTGATCCCAGCCCAGTTGATGGACAATAAACTAAGACCTGCCACTTGAATGTCATGCTATTTTTTTCATTCTGAAGTAGCTACACCCAATCTCTGTATCTCCTAGGACAGGGATAGGCAACCTTGGCTCTTTTAGGACTCGTGGACTTCAACTCCCAGAATTCCTGAGCCAGCCATGCTGAGGGGAAAGGGAGAGGTTTCCAAGCTGAGCTATGCTGGCTCAGGAATTCTGGGAGTTGAAGTCCACAAGTCATGAGGAGGCCATAGTTCCCCCATGCTGGCTCAGGAATTCTGGGAATTGAAGTCCACGAGTCATGAGGGGGCCATAGTTCCCCCATGCTGGCTCAGGAATTCTGGGAGTTGAAGTCCACGAGTCATAAAAGAGCCAAGGTTGCCTACCCCTGTCCTAGGTTAAAACTCATATTTTCCTCAAACCAATACAGGGGATCCTCGTCTTACAACGTTTTTGTTTAGTTACTGTTTAAATTACAACAGCACTGGAAAAGGTGACTTACAACCATTTTTCACCCTTACGACCATTGCAGCAATCCCATGATGAGGTGATCAAAACTCAGACCCTTGGCAACTGACTCATATTTATGACGGTTGCGATGTCTCAGGGTCACGTGATCCCCTTTTACGACGGTCTGGCGAGCAAGGTCAATGGGGAAACCAGGTTCACTTAACAAACCGTGTGACTAATATAACGCCTGAGGTGATTCCCCTGACAACAAAGTTGTCAAATGGGGCAAAACCCAGTTAACAAATGTGTCACTTAGCAAGCATAAATTTTGGGCTCCATTGTGGTCGTAAATTGAGGACTACCTGTACAGACCAAGATGGTTGAATAAGGATGTGAGGTGTAGTTCCACAAAGTTGGAGAGTTTGCTAAAACAAGCAGAAAGCTCCGATCTGGGGGGTGAATGAGTAACCAAACCAAAGATTGCTTAAAACGCTGGCTAATAATTGAATGAGAATTAGGACAACAGAGTTGGAAGGGGCCTTATAGGTCATCTAGTCCAACCCCCCACCCAAGCAGGAGACCACCACTTCCGATGGCAAGATGAGAGGCATTTTCTTTGTGCAATTTGTACTTGCTGGATCTTATGTTTATCGATGTTTATCCCGCAGGCTGTTCCCTGATTTAGAGACATTTCTGGGGTGGGAGTCAGTTTTAAATGATTAATATAATAAATCTTTGATAATGGTCCTTCAGCTATAGAATATTTTCCGCAAATCAAGCTACCTAAAGTAATCCTTGTGTTTCTGCCGGGGAAATATATTTTTTAATTTCCCTTGGCATTGACAGGGATATTATCATCTCTTAATTATATATTTTTTAATTTCATGTTATAGGGTGGCGCGGTGAGGAACACTTGGAAAGTTAATCGAACGATCTGCTTTTGTTTAATTCTGCCGTTTTATTTCCTGTGTTGATGTCCCATGTTAAGCGGGGTTTTGCCCATTTTACGACCTTCCTTGCCATAGTTGTTAAGTGAATCACTGCAGTTGTTAAGTGAGTAACACGGTCGTTAAATGACTCTGGCTTCTCCACTTGTCAGAAGGTCACAAAAGGAGAATCACACAACCCTGGGACATTGCAACGGTTATAAATACGAGTCAGTTGCCAAGCATCTGAATTTTGATCTCGTGACCCTGGGGATGCTGCAACGGTCGTAAGTGTGAAAAACAGTTCTAAGTCGCTTTTCCCAGTGCTGTCGTAACTGTGAACGGTCACTAAACAAAGTGTTTTAAGACGAGGACTACCTGTACTGTTGCATAAAGGGGCATTCCAAACAGCATGTATAAGCATGTATATCAATAAATATTGCCTATAATCAGAAGAAGCCCCTACAGTCCTCCGTTTACAAAAACTCATTTGACGACTGCTTCATCAGCACTGAAAACAACTGACTTACAGCCAGTCCTCAGACTTACAACCGTGGCACCATTGCCACGGCGACATGATTCAGATTTGGGCACTTGGCAACCAGTATGTATTGATCATGGTTGCAGCATCCCGGGGTCCTGGGAGGTCACCATTTGTGACATTCCCAGCTCTTGTCTGGCAAGCAAAGTCAATGGGGGAAGTCGGATTCATTTAGCACAGGGGTCTTCAAACTTGCCCCCCCTTTTATGACTGCTGGACTTCAACTCCCAGAATTCCTCAGACGGCCATTTTGATGATACTGCAGGCTTGGATCCAGACCAGGGGTCTTCAAACGTGGCCCTTTTATGACTTGTGGACTTCAACTCCCAGAATTCCTCAGCCAACATGGCTCAGCTTGGAAACCTCTCCCTTTCCCCTCAGCGTGCCTGGCTGAGGAATTCTAGGAGTTGAAGTCCACCAGTTTCCTGCCTGAGCAGGGGGTTGGGCTAGATGACCTCCAAGGTCCCTTCCAACTTTACTATTATTATAGTCATAAAAGGGCCAGGTTTGAAGACCCCTGATTTAACAACTGCCTTGCTTAAAAATGGACATTCTATAGTTTAGCACCTATAGTGCTAAACAGAAATCCTTTGCTTTAATGGATGAGGTGTGGTTTTGTAGCAGCTTGCGGTGTTGAAATTGAGACGGCCTTGCCTCCCTAAAGCTTCGGTCCTTGCAATTGT